CAGCTGAGCCACGCGACTGCCCTTTCTTATTCTAATCAGCACATGCCTTTGCAACTTTCTACAAACCTACATGCTAAACTTCTTAATCCCCTCGCACATAAAACACATGCGAATATCCAACAGAAATATATATAGATATATATATATACCGCCAGCATATTACTCCCATAATTGATGCATTGTAACCCGGCCCTTTCATCCCCGCTTCGCACCCCATCCTGTCTTTATCAAAAATAAAAGAGACCGAGTTACATCAAAGGCTTACATTGCATAACACTCCCCGGGAAAGCATCTTTTCCCACCCCAGGTAAGAGGTTGAGCTGTTTCAGAGTAGAAAAAGCTACACGTGCCCACAGTCAAGATCCTGATCATATCATCAGGCCCCGGCAGATTGCAGTGGTTTATGATTATGATTGGGGTGGGGGGAGAGTTGCAATCACACCCTCTCAGCATGGCCGGACAGCTAGGAATACAATCTCAGGTCCTGCTGTCTCCTTCCTAACCAAGCTTGAAGTCCAGGTGCCTTATACATATCCTTCTGTGAAATATGTCTATATATATTAACAGGTCCGCGGAGGTGTAGCTCCCACACCTGCAGATGCAACACACGCCAGGCTCAGCTATTGCCCACACTCAGCTGCACGTACCCAGCTGCACGTAGGCATGTGTCACCGGGCTCTGGGTGCCTCTCCAGCCCTTGAGATAGACAAGCCTACAGCTGGTAAATAAGCAGCCCCCTGCCTAAACTGGAGCGTGGTCCTCCCTCTAATTAATAGACACTCCTTGGAGTGACTTTACCCATCATCTGCTGCGTTTAGAAAGGCAAGAGATCGGCTCTCAAGGTTGCTGGGTTGTGCTTCTTGCTAGAGAAGTGGGGGTCTGTCATTACAGGATGGCATGAATTCATTCAGGCAGCTTGAGAGAAGCCAGGAGTCTCCTGGCCTCGTGGAAATGTTGTGTCAGCTCCCCCTTTCTTATCATAACATCATAGAAAATGAGGGTTGGAGAGGACCTCAGGAGGTCACCTAGTCCAACCCCCTGCTCAAAGCAGGACCAGCCCCAGCTAGATCATCCCAGCTAAGGCTTTGTCTACCTGGGTCTTAAAATCCTCCAAGGATGGAGAGCCCACCTCCTCTCTGGGTAACCTGTTCCAGTGTTTTACCACCCTCCTAGTGAGAAAATTCTTCCTAATAGCTAACCCAAACTAATATCTAACCTAGGCAAGAGCAGTGCCCCCCTTTCTAATGGCAGAGGGAGCTGCCCTGGCTGCACCACACTCTCCCCTGGCAGGGGTAGGCTTCCTTCCAGCTCTTTTCGTTGCCTCCTGGTCCTTAATGAGCCTAACTGTGTACAGTACATTTGCTGAGACATCAAAAACTAGTTAAAAAGGGTTCCAGCCTTTTCCTAATGAGGAAGGTGAGGATTTATTGCCTCTCTGCGCTCGCAGGACAAGGGGCTGCTGCGGCCATGCCACTGCCAGGCTGCTTAACATACTTTAACTTAAGCTGCCTGTGCATTTGGGGGGCTCTGGGTCTGGACGTGTGAGAGGAGTATAGAGACATGCAGTTGCGAGTGAAAAAACGCCATTTGGTTAGGAGCAGATGGCTGGCTAGGGGGTTGATCGCGTCTAAAGGCGTGTCATCCCCCTTCAGCTTGAATCCCTGAGGGCTCCCCTTGTCTTCAAAATCAATGAAAATTAAAGTGCAGAGAAAGGATGAATAGTTAGACCTCGAGTCCCTCCTTTGTTCGTCCCAGCTACTGGTGGACAGGAGTTAAACTACAACAGCCTCCTATAGAAACACTTAAGTTAAACAGTCTCCCCGTTAGCCCAGCATCTGAAAGGGAGAGGGAGAGCGGGGAGAGAAAAAAGCAGAGGGGGGAGGAAAAAAAGAGAGGAGCTTTCTGCTTGATTTCCCCAATACAGAATCGCGTGGCATAAATTAAGTTGGAAAAGAATAAGTGCATTGGGCAGGATTCTGATGGATTTTACGACGCCTTTCAGTTACGCTTTGCAGCAGTAATCGAGAAATCTGTGCCGCGTCAATTTAACAAATACTTGATACCGAAGGGGGGTTGTTAGAGATTTAGGACAATTTTTTGTTGTCGTTGTAGGTTTAAGCCCTTGCGCGTGTAACTTTTTATTTCCCGGTGTTTTAAGCGCCGATGCCAATGATTCCACTTTCTCTCTGCACCAGATGAAAAGGTTCGTGCTGATAGATCACTTCTAACCTCCGCGGACCCCAAATTTCAAGATATCCCCCACCCCCATCACCACCCCCTGTGCTCCCATTTGCCTGGCACACAAGTTTGAGCCGATTCCCCACCTCCTAGCCAGCAGCACTGTTGCAAAGTTTTCAGGAGCAGTGGCAAGCCATTCAAAAAGATGTTGACACTAGGTGGCAAGAGTAATTTACAGTTAAATCTAGATGCAGCGTGCTCGGTTCACTTATCCCCGGAGTTGCAGGAAGGAGGTGAGGGTGGGTGGATTTCTTTCTTAACTCCTTAGGCATGGACCTCCTCAATGGGTCAGACCCTGCAGCCTTTACTCAGAGGGACTTCGCTAGGAAGCGGAGGGCTGAGATCTTGGGGTTTTCAAGTGATTGTCCCAGAGGTCTCACTAAGCAAACATTCCTGTGCGCCAGAGCTCTCGGATAAATTACACATTTGGCCCAAGTTATGTTTAAACAGAGGAGAGTCAAAGGGTGAAAGGTTGCAGATATTTTGATCCCTGTTTAAATGGCACGGGTGCTTGAGGGGGTTTGGTGTCAGCAGGGGAAAAATCAGGATCTTCTCCCGGCCGGTATATACAGTTACAGTCCTGGATGGGCTAGGCTGAATGCATTCATTAGTGGGTTTTTTTTAATTAGTATTAACCAGTGCTTTTTACTTGAAGAAGTGTTTAAGAATTTTTCCCCCCAGTGCATTGTAAGATAATTTGTGATCAAGACATCTGCTTCAATGAAAGTCACATTTTGCCATGCAAATGCACGTTTCAACCCAATAAAGTAGCCATAATAAGGCTTTTAGCATGGCATACCTACAGTGAGGTTATTGTAGCTAAATCCTCTCCTTCGCACACAAGCTTAATCTGTGCTGAAATGATCTGTTACAATTAAAATGACATTTACACAGACAGTTACACCTTGCATTCTAATGAAGCTGCCTGAGCCCATCTAGGTGTTGAAAAAGCCTCCCGCACAAAAAAACCTACCACCACAACAAAAAACAAACCCGCAAAACAAAGTGGTAAAACAAACCCCCAAACCCTCAGCTCCCAGTTCGATGCCAAAAATTGCCTTCCAACTTTTTGATCATCCCCTTCCAACCATAATTAAGAAATTTCTCAGTGATAAGCGCCCGGCTAAACTCCTCTCCCTTGGTTCTAGCATCAAAACAAAAGTTCCAGTGTGTGATGGATGTGTAAAAAATAATAAGGTGACGGTTGGTGTAAAGATTTTTTTTATTAGGGGGAGGATGCTGGAAGGGTTTTCTTTAAAAAAAAAATGTGCGGACATTGTTGTAGAAGCAGTAGCGTGCGCCGAGGGGAGCTCTTTCTCTCCCTGGTATTGTGCAGGGAGCAGGTGCTGTCTACATTACCATACAGCTGAGAGCACAAAGAGCCAACTGATTCAGCCCTCACACAATAACAAACTGCCTTAATGACAGCCACGCGAGCGACACACACCAAACTCACTTTTTTACTAAGCTGGAGGAGGAAAAGGGGGGGGGCAAAAAAGGGGAGAGATGCGGATGAAGAGGAGGATGATAATCATAGAGGAGATCGGACCCGCCCGGGCTTTGCTCGGTGTTCCCAACTGAGTCGTGGAGAAGAGAAAATTAAAAAAAAAGAAAGAAAGAA